GGAAATGGCAAATAAATACACAGCATTAGTGTCTGACGTGCTTGCTGAGCACCGGGGATGTTAATAACTGGCAAGGTACACTAATCTCTGATTGCAACATTTGGTTTACCTTAATCTGGAGGGACAGCTGTATTAAAGAGGGAATTATACTAATCAGTTCAAGGCCCTTGCATATAAAACTTCCCATTAGGCTTAAAGTACACCAGCTTATGCTCATTCTCTAGGAGCCTTACATCTGGTTCTGAATAAGGCAGCCTCTCATTTGCAAGGTACAAACTGAAAACAAGGGGGAGGGGGGCTGACAGTTGCTGGAGGATGGGTGATAGAAGAGTAAGCTACTAATTCTTTGAAATTTTTAACAGCACAAAACTAGCTTCTAGGCATCTTAATACTAAAAGGGGGGGAAAAAAAAAAAAAGCATGTGTTATCAACCCTAGGCCATTTTTTCCTGTTACCGGAGGTGACCAACATAAAATAAAATTGATGATGTCAGTCAAAAACAGCTAAGCACAAAGCTTGGCTTTGTTATCTTAAGTCAGAAGGTATGATAGGCCATGCCATATGGCTCTAATCCGCCTCTATCTCCCATCACCTAACAGGAAACCTTCATGTAGCATGACCTTATTTGGCTGGTTCCAGGTTAGGGCTGCCCAAAGGGGATTTTTCTGTTTCTGCTATATCCAAAGGTTTATGTTGATTTTTTTCTGAGCCCTGCAAACTATAAATCCGACTGATTACTCTGCACTCTTTTGCTTGACTGAGCCTTTACAATCAGACATCCCCGTTAACAATAAGCTCCTAATGAATCAAACATCTATGGCATTAGTTTCACCTAGCTGCCTCTTTCCCATGCACTGTGCTGCTTTGTCAGACCTGGTTTGATGAGAAAAGCTAGTGACACTTGCTGCACCTATTGATAAACAATTCAGTAATGAGGGGCATAACAAAAATTACCTAAAACAACCTGATTAAAAATGACAGGCAAGGCTTACTCCCTTGCTCTACGGCGAAGGTAACTCCGGTTCTGCGTAGGGAAAATAATGAGGTAAAATAAAATTTCCTTCTTAGCAAGGAGTTCACTTCTGAATGTGTGTTGATGAGGAGATTCGGTTTTTCCAGTGATGTTTTCCACTCTCTCAGGTTATATGATTACCCGTAACGTTAGGGACTCATCGAATTCGGGATGGTTGCCTTTCAACTTTCCGAGACGAATTCCCTGCTTTTTCTACTTAAACTTTCAGAATAATCAAACTTTCTTTCTTAAATGTGAGTTTAGTCATTGAGAAATTCAATAATATAATGCTAATAATTAGGTAAGTATAGTGTGGGCACAAAAGAGAAATTCTAAGATACCAAAAAAAAAAAAAAAGTTTTGGAACAAAGTAGGAGAAACTTCATGGACAAAATCATCTCCCTAAAAGGAATAATTTAACCTTACCATGGACATGGAAGCTCCTTTTATTGGGGTCACCCGGAGGACCTTTGCAACTTCGAAACAAGCTTATACCCAGAGGAGGCCAGGCTCTTGTGAAAGCTTGATTCAAAGACAGAAATGTGTGGGTTTTGCAATTGTGTGGCATCATGCTGGGAGGGTTTCCATCAGTGCACAGATGCACTTGAAAATCAAATATGGACATGGGGAATGTTTTTTGGAGATGGAAAATGAGTGCTGATGACATGTTTATACTTCGCAGATGGATCCAGTACAGAACCATTTTTTGTGAAGAAACAATACCCACCATTTGCTAAAAAAAAATTTTTTTTGAGCAGCTACAAAATGGTGGCACAAAAAGTGAATATTCCCGTCATATATGCTCCACCTGTTTCTCGGTCTTACAACTGTCTTCCATCCTGACCATAATCAATGACTGCTGTAGTCTTATTTTATTTTCAAATGTTATCCAAAAGAATATGAAAAAAGAAACACAATACACAAAGGCATTTGAAAGAGCAAAATGATTTGAAATTAATTTGCCACATATGAAAAATTGGAAAATGACAAATGCTATTAAGTAACAAATGCTGAATTGAATCCTAAAAAATTCATTTTAATTGGCATATTTTCTCCCTAAATTTGATATCAAACCAATTTTTGAATGTTTTCTATCTAGAGTCTAGAATGTCTCCTCTATTCCTTCTTTTGGCCCCACCTTAGATCACTTAGGTATTTGTAACTCTGGAAATTACAATGCTTAGCATGGCGTTAATACTGTTTACTGCCTGGGTGGCTCAGTCAGTTGAGCATCTTACTGTTGGTTTCAGCTCAGGTCATGAACTGACGGTTGGTGGGTGTGAGCCCCACATCTGGCTCTGCCCTGGCAGCACAGAGTCTGCTTGGGATTCTCTCTCTCTCTCTTTCTCTCTCTCAATCTCTCTCTCTGCCCCTCCCCTGCTTGCACTGTCTCTTTCCCAAAATAAATAAATAAAACTTAATTTTTTTTTCTTTAAACAAATACTATTTATTGCCTTATTATTGGCACATTATAATGATGAGTAGTTCCTAGTGACAAATATCAACCATAATGACATGGAAAGGCACAATATGTATGGGATATGGGTTTGTAAGAAGATAACCTAAAGCATTTAAGTGTCGAAAAACATTATTAGTAACATTGCAAACTTTGCTCGATAAAAGCTATCAGAATAGTCAAATCTTAACTTACTGAGACCATCAATAATATTGAAACTTGCCATCCCAAGTGTGAAATAGTGACAAAGTGACCCACCTCAAAGATACAGCAATTACACAACAATAAGGAAGCTATGGATCTGAAATATAAAAGTTAATAATTTTTTAAAACAGCAAATTCTGAACACATTTTCAGACTTGATGAATGAGTATGTGTTTCAAGTGTTTCAAGTAATACGTGACACTAAATTTGTTTCTTACTTTTGGTCAGACAAATTAACTTTTCTTGATGTTTTACCTTTCTTGCTATCTGTCTTCCTAACCTACTGAATTTCACAGCTAGCCTTTAATCAATCATATTTTTTATTCTAAGTATCAGTCCGAGATTAAGAATTAGAAATAGACTCTGAGTCACAGCAAACGGTCATACAGCCTGAGACTAGATAACAAAATCTTGAGAATCTACGTAAGTCGACATGTTCTTTCGACCCTGTAGTTTCTGGCAGTGTACCAAACATAAATCGACAGTTCTACGTTCTATGATTCTGCCCCTTGTTATCATCCTGAAACTAACAAAAGCCTGTGTACCCTTCTCTAAATGAAGCAAGCCTTCATCTTTATTGCTGGATTTTTGACACATGTGAACAAGCCAAAACATTTATAAATTCTTAATTATTTCTTGCCTATCCGTAAAAAAACAAAAGTTTTAATCATAAACTTAAGGTAGTCTTAGAGTTCCACAGAAAATGTTAGTACTCATCCCAAATATAACTTGTTAAACTTTGAAATGGTCAAGAAAAATGAAAGTATATCTTTCCAGTTAGAGTATATATGAGGTCATTGTGTTCCTAATCAACTTTCGGCAAATGCATAGAACAGAGAACTCAGAAAAAATAAGAGATCATTTGTTTCTATTTCTTTATTTAAGATATTAGGGAAAGGAGATGTGAGAAGTAATAAAACTAATTTAGTTCACATAACTAGATTGCTGGGAAATCAGATTTCCTGAGGTCTGCTTTATTCTACTAAACCATTCTGTTTGCAAATCTTGTAATATTTAGTTAGAATGGACTAATGTTATTGGTCACCTATTCTCTAAGTACTACATTAAGTATATTATAAAATAATACGGTGTTCAGATATCATCACACTTAGAGAATAATTGTATAACAATATAAAAATTAATAAGCTACGTTCTACCAGTGCCTAAATTGTTGCCTAGATGTAAAGTCAGCACCTCACTAAGATAACTATACTACTGGTCTATAAGTTAATTATGGGATAATACAATCCCTTATCCCTGGTGACAAGCAGAAGTTATGTAAGGGTGCTGTTAACCAAAGAACAGCTAAATACAGGGCCCCTGTGTGTTGGTCTGGCCTCTAGACCAGAGAGATCCAGGGACAAAACACTCTGTAATCCTAACCAAGCTGCTCATCATTTGTCTAAGGAAGAACTAGTGAGCTTTTCTACATCAAAGTCAAACCTGACTTGCATGGTAGTCAAAAGGTCAGCTTTTTAAAACTTGAAGTTCATTACAGTCCACTGTTTTCTTCTTGATATCTGCTACACAGAAAGAACAGCCAATATTCCAAAGTAAAGTCATCTCTACTTAAGAAAGTGGAAGCAATCTTCCTGAGTCCTAGCGTTTACAGGTAGGACAGCCTGGCTATTCTACAAGCATCTTGGCCTACTTCCCAAAGTGCTCATTGGTGTCTGGGTGTCTGAATAGTAGCTGATGGATTTCCATGGCTTGTCACCACTATCCCTAACTTCTGGTAGTAGTCCCAACTCTGCCAGCAGTTATACGTAACGTATGTGTGAGAAGAAAATATGCTTCTTTTTGCTGGGAAAGGGTTTGGGTTCATCAGACCTTTAAACCCCAAGGATGAAAAAGAGTTCTGAATCAAATAACGTGGAGGCATGGGTACAGACAAAACTTTTCCATCAGTAAAAGTTAAAATTCACAGATGTCTTCCTAATAACGATACTGAATAGCTTACTTCACATATGTATCATCCATGGTATTTATCCAACACCTTTAAGTGGGTTGGGTGCTATTAACCAAAGATCAACTTAAACACAGGGAGACTGAATGTCGGATACGGTTTTAGGCATTTTGAGACAAGATGCCCTGGACTGTCCTAAATTTGGTCTAGAAATATTCTGGATGGAGTCTGTTCCCACGGTTAGCATTAGTTATGTAAAGGTGGATATGAGTCTAATTTTTCGAACTGGATCGGTTGTGTAGTTCATGTTTATTCACATATTATCTGCACTGATTCATATATCCTAATCTTAATTAGCATTTAGACATAGTAACTGGTATATAACTAAACATATAATAATCATATTCTTTTATGTTACTTACATTTTAAGTTATCCATTAAAATTCAGCCAGTCAAAATAATCTGTAGGCAAGAAGAAGTTTGGTTCTCATGTACGAAGAACTTAAAAAAATATCCTTTGGGGGCTCCTGGCTGGCTCTTGAAAGTAGAGCATGCGACACGTGATCTCAGGGTCATGAGTTCAAGCCCCACCTTGCACCTAGAGCTTACTTTAAAAAAAAATCCTTCGAGTAGAATTTTAGACATTTATACCCATACTGAGAGGTTCCTTTAGTTTCTATGGAAACTGTGTGAAGGTAGTTTCATTCAGTATGTTGAGTGCCAGAACACTAGACTCCTCTTTTATCATCTGCCATCCAATAGACAAAACCGACTTTTTCTTGTTACATAGCTTCCATTAGTAACCATGGAACGATCCAGTACATCTGATATTATTTTCTTGGTGTAGGTAATGTTGCCAGTGATGATGGCCCTGAGATTGTGGTACTTTCTGCTTTCACACTTGAGGGCCTACCAGTTACTACAGTTGCCACAAGAAACTAGCTAACCAACAAGCACGAATAGAAATTGCACATACACATCTCTTGTATTGTTCTAAACAACCTCATGAAGTCTTTAGAAACTGTCACATAGTTGCATCCCGTCACAGAATGTGATGTTCTACCACTAAAAAGTTGGGAAGATTTGTATGGGTAAACCCCCACCTCTACATCAATGGATGCAATGGGATAAAGATGATAGGTTTATAGAATTGATCCCAACATGTAGTCAGTTCATAAGGAGGTCAAAATTATAATAGTTATGAAATATGTTAACTTTGAGAAGATTGAGACAGTCAGACAGAGGAACCATTTCCCCCAAGCTAAGTTGTAAATAAGGGCTACTAACCCTTTCATTCTTTTCTAAGTGGAGAACAGATCTTCTCCAGGCTGTTCTGAGTAGCCTCCCCCTGTCTCCACAGAGGCTTCACTTGACCTTTGCAATCTAGCACACCCAGACCTTTCTAATCATGTGCATATTGTAACATCAGATGAAATCTTTCCCCTTCCCTTTGCCTCCAATAGTCTTAAATTACCTGAAGTCACCATATTTCATTGAGAACAATGTTATTACATTATTCTCGACACTGTCTTAAATTATATGACACTGTTGGAACTTTTACTTTTTTCCGGTAACAAATCTTAAAAGATGCTAAAGTCCACAGATGACTAAAAATTGGAGCTGTCTGAAGTCACTTTAAAGTATATCCTATAATACTACAATTAATTCATTCAGTGTATACTCATCAAGTCCTGCCATGTGTAAGGCACTGTGAGCCGGAAAAGATAGAAAGTAGTGGAGCTCCAGGTCTCATGAAGAAACCAATACTCCAAATTATTGTTCAGTCATAAGTTGATAAAGGAGACTTTTTTGCTTTCTGTTGGCATATATGAATATTTATTACTGCCATATTTCATGAACCAAATTTAAGATCTTGGTCTTTCCTTCTTGTTTCAGCCTTCTTGTTTCCTTTTTGTTTCCTTCTTGTTTCAGCCAAAAGAGAGTGATTGACTATTTGAACAACCTTACAGGTGCCTTGGTGGCTCAGATGGTTGAGTGTCTGACTCTTCATTTCGGGACAGGTCATGATCCCAGGGTCATGGGATTGAGCCTCACGTAAGGTTCCACGCTGACCATGAAGTCTGCTGAAGATTCACTCCCTCTCTTCCTCTGTTCCTCTCCCTCTCTTGTGCTCTATTTCTCAAATGAATGAATGAATGAATTAATGAATGAATGAATGAATGAAACAACCTTCAGGCAGACTCCAGGAATGTCACCAACACCATGACCTTTGTGACCAAATCTAGGAACCAGAACTTCACTATTTTCCTCAATAAAACTCCAGTGACCATCATTCAAGAAAAGGACGTCATCTTTTTTTTTTCCTGTTCTTGATCAGCTGGACCCCGACACACTTTCTAATGGCAGAATTTGACTGTGTGGCTTCAACACCTAGTTTTTCCAGTACAATTTTCTAATATAATTCCCTTTGCACGGGAAGTACCCCCAAAAGGTTTCGCTTTCAGGGCTGTGCCCAAATGAGCTTTCTTGTACCATTCACCATGCCACTTCTAATCTCACCGGTGGTGACACAGCTTCCCAGAAGTATGAAGACCACTACCCTTTCCCACCTTGCTGGCACCACAGGCCTGAGCAAAAGAGCAGAAGCTTTTTTAAAAATAATTTGCCTTATTTGGTACAAGCCAATTCTTGTCCCTCCCTCCTATCCAGTCATCTCTTTAGCTGCTCTTATTACTATTTGGCAAGGAAATTTTAATTTCTAAGAGTGTTATATGGTGAGCTCTATAGGCCAATGATTTAAAAAATGGGCTTTGGAGTAAGATAGGTCAGAACTTAATGCTTATTCTACCACCCATTAGCTTTGTGGTCTTGAAAGAAATCTCTTGGGACAGCCGGGTGGCTCAGTCGGTTGTGTGTCCAACTTCGGCTCAGGTCACAGTCTCATGGATTGTGAGTTCGAGCCCCACGTTCATGAGTTCGAGCCTGCTTTGGATTCTGTGTCTCCTTCTCTCTCTGCCCCTCCCCTGCCTGTGCTCTCTCTCTCTCTCTCTCAAAAATAAACATTAAAAAAAAGAAAGAAAGAAACCTCTTAGTCTTTCTGAGCCTCAGTTTCTTCATCTGTGAAATAGAAATACTGATTCTTTCTTGGTGATGTGCTAAGGACTAAATGAAACAATATTCATGGGTCCCTTAGCGTATGCCCTCACATGGGGTATGTGTTCAATTAAAAGTGACTTTAATTGTAATGGACCTTGGGTGAGGTGAATATGCATGATGTGATTGCAATATGACTCCATTTTAATAGAAGGGACAGTGGCAGAATGTCTTCCTCTAATAATAAGAAAAGGAAACCTTAATGGAACTAAGGAAGCAAAGTATCTAGACCCAGAGCAAGGAGAGGGCCATGGTGCTGGGAAGGAGGTAGCATCAGGGGTGTCTGAGCTGGGGTGGCCCTGAAACAGAGCCTGTGACAAGGAATTCGAGAGCATGGAGAGAAAAAAGTAGGGTTGGTGGAAAATCCAAACAATGTACCATAAGGGAACCTAAGATTCCTGCTGTTGAAGAAAGCACCTCTGAGGACCATGCCGAGTGCTTCTCAGAACTGCCTTGTCTGAAAGGTAGGTGGCTGAAACATTGATCCCCAGGCTCCTGTCTCCCCCCAAGTTTGGGCTGCCCTTGAGGGTGTTAACTCTCCCACGCGTTTCCATGCTAAACTTGAAGAAGCATTGAGCAGGTTTCTGCAGTTCTGGAAGAGACTCTGAGGCAGAAATTAGGAAGACTCCAACAATGTTCTGGAGGACTGCACTTAGGAGGAAATATCCACCAAAGCTACAACTGAAATCAAAGAGGGCTTAGAGGATGAGACACAGGACTGCAAACTTTTCTGCACAAATAGTCTTTCTTTAAAAGAAAAACACTTTATTTATTTATTTTGAGAAAGAGAGAGTGTGTGAGCTACAGAGGGGCAGAGAGAGAGAGAGAGAGAGAGAGAGAGAGAGAGAGAATCCCAAGCAGGCTCCACGCTGTCAGTGCAGAGCCCAACATGGGGCTCGATGTCACAAACCATGAGACCATGACCTGAGCCAAAATCAAGAGTCAGACGCTTAACTGACCAAGCCACCCAGGCGTCCCACAAATAGTCTTACTGACAGACCACGAAAAGCATCAAGACAGTGAAAAATTGTTACAGACTGAATGTCTGCATCCCCCCAAAATCCATTTGTTGAAATCCTGACCTTTAATGTGATGGTATGGGGAGGTGGGACCTCTGGAACATGACAGTAAGGTCATGAGGGTGGAGTGCTCTGCAGTGAGATTAGTGCCCTTATCAGGGACTAAAGAGATCAGAGTTCCTGCCCTTCACTGTCTGAAGCCACACAGAGATGGACACCTGCAAATGTGGAAGTGGGCTCTCCTTATGGCCTGGCGTGTCCACACTCTGACCTGAAACTTCCAGCCTCCAGAACTGTGAGAAATAAATGTCTATTGTTTATAAACCACACAGTCTATGATACTTTGTTATAACAGCTCAAACTGTGACAGAATTGAATGCTGGGTTCAAAGAGAAAGCAGATATATGATTTTCTCTCAGTTCTAGCTTAGCTTCTTTCCTATTTTGTTTTAAAAGTTTACATATTTAGGGGCGCCTGGGTGGCTCAGTCGGTGAAGCATCTGACTTTGGCTCAGGTCACGATCTCGTGGTTTGTGGGTTGAAGCCCGGCATCGGGCTCTGTGCTGACAGCTCATAGCCTGGAGCCTGCTTCCGATTCTGTGTCTCCCTCTCTCTCTGCCCCTCCCCTGCTCACTCTCTATCTCTCTCCCTCTCAAGAATAAATAAACATTAAAATTTAAGTTTATATATTTATTTTGACAGAGAGAGAGGGAGGGAGGGACAACCCAAGCAGGCTTCAGCACAGAGCCCGATGCTGGGCTCCATCTCATGAACCGTGAGATCATGACCTGAGCCAAAACCAAGAGTTGGATGCTTAACTGACTGAGCCACCCAGGCACCCCTAGCTTAGTTTCTTCCATGGCAACCAGATTATAGCAAATCAAGTTAAATACAATAAAATAACAGTTCAAGGATACAGAATCCTTCCTTTCCCAGAAGATGCTACTAGGATCAGAGTCACAGGAATTCCAAACTTGGTTACCTATGTAGTCATACTATTGCCACAAAAGGAAAGATGTGGCTGGTCAAAGATAAGATATTCTCACTGCATCATCCCTTCTCTAGCCCCGTAACCAGGAAACACTCCAGTCAAAGCCTGACCAATGTGGGTAAGCCAGACTCCTCAGCCACGTCCTCTGAAGTCTCCATTGTATTAGTCAGGCAGAAATTACTATATACTTGAAATGACGAGTCACAGCTTGTGCAGGGAACGTGATGGACAAAATTAAACTCAGCATTAATGAGTTAAAAAGCCTTTTGGTTTCTGTTTGAAAGGGGCAAGCTCGTTGGCCTATCTAATCTGACAGTGAAAGGTAAAATGATTTATAAGTGACAATTTATAATTTATAAATAATTAGATTGTCCATTCAATGCATGGTTGCAATTTCTATCCAATCAGAGTGCCACCTAGGGCTCCCTGATAAAATGGGAACATTGCATGGGACACAACTCATCTGAAAAAATATTCATTATTTATCAGAAATTCAAATTTAACTAGGAATTCTTTATTTTTATTTGCTCTATCTGGCAACTCTATTGCTTCGTCCAAACAAGTACAAAGAAAGAGCTACTCATTAAAACAAGACTGTAAATGTTCTGGAATGTTGTGCTAAAGGTTCTTGGACTCCTCAGTAGTAGCAACATTTCAATAAATTGACATGTGAATTAACTCTAACGATTTGCATATTGTTTCCTTGGGCACATTTCTAAAAACTTTTCAAAGCTTTCAATAATTTATTTTGTCACAACCTGGCAATCTGTATATTGAAAAAACACTGTGATAGTAACAGGAAAAGTCTTTTCAAATAATTCCAAATGAGCTTTCCAAAGACTCCCGCCTACTTGTTAAGACTCAAAGATGCGTACTTTAAAATGTTTTCACAGGATTCACCTTATAAATAAAATCTAAGTCAACTTCCAAGTCCCAGAACAGCTCTGCAGAGAAGAGAAACATCCCAAAACCACATGCAGAGTCACGTCATTTTAGTTGCAAGATTCTTGTTCCAGCTCACCTTCCAAAACAATTTCAGTCAAGTAGAAATATTCTGACAATCCCCGCTCTTAGAATGGCAAATGATCCCTGCCTTTTCATTCATTCACTCATTACCTCTCCAAAAAGAGAATGTGCAGCTACCAGAATTTCATACAATTAGTGCTCCAAGAGCGTTTTAAATGCAAACCTATAAGAGGAAAGTAAAAACAAATCAAAGTTAATTGTGACTGGCTGGAACAAAATGCTTAAATCGATACAAGGACGGCTCATCTGCTCATCATTTACCCATTACCTGGGAGACGAACACCTCCTGCTGTGCCTGATTTTTGATACAGATTTACCATTGCCTCATTCCGCAGACACACGCAAAGGAAGCCAAACCTTCCCTGACTCCCTCTCTCATTATCCTCTTTGCACTTACTAACCTATTCATTCTTAGTTTTTCCTTGCTTGTGTGTTCTTCTTTGCAAGGGGGGCATGCACACAAGGAAAAGTAGAGTTAAAACAACTGGATAAGAAGTTCAGGGACTTCCAGTAAAGCAGTCAGAGGAGGCGCCAATGTCTGTGTATGAATTACTGACTTCTCTCAATCAGTTCCACACTGACTTTTGTGATTTTCAGAAACCTCCGCAAGGAGAATGCCAGTCCTTTTGGAAGGCATCCTTTAGGAGGAAAAAAAAATTGTTGTTAAGGTCTCAGACCTAAATGAAGAGAAATGAAGCCCTCTTATTTGGAGACGTGAGTGTCTTTAATGGCAGGATAGCCTTAAAACCGGACATGAGTGTCCAGATGAAGGACGTGAAGCCAACATCAGTAGGCTGTTGGAAAGTTTGGCTTTTGAAGGCCATGTGTGCCGTTAGCTCTCAGCAATAAAGCCTGATGTTTCAGGAGAAAGACAAACTCATTTCTAACCGGCTGCCTTTCTTCAAATGCCCTTCACCGTAGCTAAGTATCCAAAAAATGGAATATAAAATGTATCTGCCATTGAAAGTTAACGTGTATCTCTGAATTAAATACACACACCAAATTTGAGAAAGTCTGCACAGGATGGTTGGGTTGATATATGAACTTCTTTTTAATTTTTTTTTTAGAAATTCTTTTTTTTTTTTAATTTTTAGAGAGAGAGAGAGAGAGAGCAGAAGCAGGGCAGGGGACAGAGGGAGAGAGAGAGAGAGAGAGAAAGACGGAGAATCTCAAGTAGGTTTCACTCTCAGTGCAGACCCCAGTGTGGGACTTGATCCCATGACCCTGGGATCATGACCTGATCATGACCCTGGATCAAGAGACGCTCAAGCGAGCCACCCAGACGCCCGAGCACATTAACTTCTTTTTTTAGATAACTTTCCAAATGAAACTTTTGCAATTACATGTGACCATTAATTATTATTACTATTATTCTTATTAATGATTTCCAGGGAAGGGGGAAGACTCAAAAATTTTTGAAATAACTAATTTTTCTTATTCTATTTGACAATTAAATGGGTGATGTGTAATTGCTATCATCGTATTTACTGGCAATTATCCTCTTTTCACTTTCTAGCTATTTTTTTTTTACTTGTGCATATGGATTACCTAACAGAAAAGTGTAGAGATGACCACATAAATAGCAAATCACGAGTGAAAGTACATTGTATCTTCAGCCAAGTACACCCAAATAGGCTAACTATGTGATGGCTAGAAATGCAGTTCCCACAATTAAAATTGGAGTATAAATAAAACTGGGAAAATCTAGGCGCACACTGATACGGCAGGGGGAAAACAGAGTGTAAAGGATTGACTGGAGGAAAATCGTGGTGCTGTACAAAGGGGTGAGAGTCAGATACAACCGATAGCCAGCATCAGCCTTTCAATTCACTGTTGGCCTGTGTTCCACCTACCACTTCCTCAATGTATCCTTTATGTTATTTTTTTAGGAAAGGACATTCATGACCAATAACAATGTTATAATGATCATAAGTATAGGATTTAAGATACGTTTTTTAAAAACACCTTTAACCGACAATAAAAGCCCCCAAAAGCCACGGGGGTAGTTACCTAGCTCAAGGTTTTATTTAGTGATGGTTCCACTTTTTCACTCACTGCCTGCAAATCAGCATTTTTAGTGGACAAAGGGCTCAGCAGCGGCCTTATGATTGCTTCTTTTCAAATGGTAATGGCTATCCTAACTCCTCTGCCAGGTTTTTCTTACCAGAGCACAAATTGCAGTTTACAAGGCTCTGAGGGGAAAAAAAAAATCTTAGCTGAATATCTTTTTTTTTTTATTCGACAAACTGACATGTAAATTACCCTTTAAGTGCTCCACTCTAGGGCTCTGATCATCTCCTAATTGTCACAGTCAATTGTAGCCAACAGTCTCTTCAATCCCAAGCGCTTTGACAACAAGCACAAGGATCAAAGCAGAATCAGCTCCCTTCAATATCCTTCTGTTTAGGATGCTACAAAACGCCTGAAAAAGAAAGGTGTAAGGGCATTGCTGTAGAGGAAACTGAGAGTAGCAAGTATTACAATAGTCGTTTTCTCCATCTCTAAAATTATGCTGTATAAGCTGCCGTGATCTTTAATCACATGTGCAGAACAAATACATAAACCTCCCGGGCAATTAATATGCTCTTAAGATTATACTAATATGCGAGCTTTACAAACAACACCGTCTCGATGGCTTAGGAAAACTCTGATACAGTGAGGGGATAGCAATCATTTCCTAGCAGCTTGAGCATCAGAAACTGTTATCAAACATATTCTGTATTTGAACATAAATTCCAAAGCATAGTTTTTCTAAGTTTGGTGTCAGGACTCCCTGCGCCCCATTGAAAATTCTTCAGGGTTGGTTTTTTTTTTTTTTTTTAATTAACCTAGAAATGTCCAACTGAAAATGTGCCCCCAAATACATTTTTTTAAATGTGGCACAAAAACTCATTTCAGAAGATGCTGTTTTCCTTACTAGGGGTGACTCTTGTCTTATTGCTTTACTGGCAAGAAACTAATTAAAAGTCATTACATGATCTGCAAACGTGATTCCTAAGTAAGATGCACTTACCAGGGCTACTACTTCACAAACTATGACAATTCTTTCCAACCAAACTGGTTATTATACATCACTAACTTTTTTAAAAAGATTATGAATGCTGTTCTCACAAGAAAATTTTCACCCTCTCAAATATAATGATATAAATAATTTGGGGGAAAGAGAAACTCTGTGTAATAAATCTGTATCATATAGCCGCTTTAAAAATAATCTGAATACTGTCAGAGAAAAAGGACAGGTGGAAAGAAATCAAAGGTGCATGTGACAGCACCTATCCAAGCACCTCCACAGCTTGTCTCTTTGTGCCCAGGTATTGCACACAAGGAGTGGGTAAGGTCACAAATTGATTGACAGCCTTCCCACTCTCAAGAAAAAAAACTGAAAAAAAAAAAAAAAGAGGCATCGAACACCGCCGGGTTCCTTTCTCAGCAAGTTTGCTCAAATCCCCCTGTAGGGGTTTCCCGGTCTCCCCTCCATTTCACCTTGAATTCTCAGGTTTGATTGAAGAGCTTCACAGAAGGGTCTATTACAGATTGAGGAATGATCCATTTCACATCTGAAGCTCCAAAGAGCTACTTGTGAGGAGTCTCTGAGTGCATTTATCTCACATGTGAAGCTTTCTGCAAAATCAATATGGGTATTTTTCAGTTTGACAAGTCAACGTGAAATATCACATAATAATAGAAAAACAGAGTTGTACATTTAAACACACCCGATACAGTTATCTATGACAAAGCTTATAGTTATTACTCATGGATATCCTCGAGTATGCCTCATCTAAATTCACCCTGAGAACTAGGCTAAAGCACGTAGAAAGAGAAACTGACTGACTACCATGTTTTTGGCTCCTTTGCCCAGATGAATCCAGGTTCTGTGGTGAGAGGAGAGAATGGACAGGAATCATGACCTCCACTACCAACTAGGAAGTGACATGGGAAGTGGGGAGAAAACGACCAGAGGTGAAAAAGAAGAAGAAAATAGAACAAGTGAGAAAACGCAAAGAACTTCACACCTAATTAATTGGCAATAACTGGGCAAAACGTTCACCCAAAGAACAGTAACCTTGTCTTCTCAACCCCCCCCCCCCCACCCCCCCCCCCACCACGGTAGCAAACACCAGCAGAATCACTGACATATATGTGCTGGGGTCTGACAATCTTCGGGTGAACTCTGGGTCTATTCTCTTTTCTGCGTTAGCTTGAGGAATGTGATTTAACTTCTCTAAACCTCTGAGTTTCTCTGCTGGTTATTTTTATCTTAAAATGGGATTAATCAGAAGATTTACCTTACAAGGTTTTGTGAGGACTGAACAAGATGATGCATATAGCACCTGGCACATGGAAAACACTTAATTATTTGTAAATATTGATGAAATTATTATCATTTCCTTATACCTATCCACAAGGTCTCTAGGGTTCTAATCTGGTGCCATTTGTAGTGTTCCCTGGACCCTTTCCACACTGTTTAATGTCCCCAAGGGATATATGACCATTTGGGTGAAAGAGTGTCCTCACTGTATTAACTCTGTGTAGGTCCTAATAGAGGAGTGTAGCCATGCACATGTACTTGCCTTAAAAATGGTCTTCATCCAACCAGGAAGCCTGTTTCTAGCAACTGTGAGAGAGAGAGAGAAAATCAAATGGGACTTTGAGAAAGGAAAAAGCCCAGGCCTACAGACCACATCAGCTGATCACTTAAAGCAAGAAACGAGGTAGGAGATGTAACATATAGTTTTATTTCATATACCAAAATATTTAGTCTTTTTTTTAAGTTTATTTATTTTGAGAGAGAGAGAGAGAGAGAGAGAGAGAGAGAGAGAGAGAGAGAGGGAGGGAGAGCACAAGCGTGGGAAAGGGATAGAGAGAGGGAGAAAGAGAACCCCAAGCAAGTTCCACACTGTCTATGTGATGCAGGGCTCAGTCTCGCAAACTGTGACCTGAGCCAAAATCAAGAGTCAAACACATAACTGACCGAACCCCCCAGGTGCGCTGCCAGTATGTTATAATTAATAGTGGGGTTATGTCTATACATTCAACCATAGGAAGAACCTTAAAAAAAATCTCAACAGCATATTGGCAACCAAGATCTGGTTAAGTGACTCACTATAAACACTTATTCCTCTCTATCACATTTTCCTGTAGCTTATTACTACCTAAGTAGTATTAACATCATTTATATTTGATGATCTATGCTTGGATCTGTAGACTGCTTGAAGCATACTTATCATTTTAGGTTAACTCTCCCCACTACACAGAATAAGGCCAGAGTAGGCAAAACATGTGAGTTCAGAAATGTGAAAATTCATGTTAATATAGAAATAAGAAAAGTATCATTATAAAATTCCATTGAAGTTTAAAAACTCTTATCCTGCATTTCAAAGTCAAATAACTAAATACAAATGACTTTGTATTTAATTAATTCAACCAATATGTATCAAGAGCTTAATATATGTAATACTGTTCATTTTTTAGCTACCCTACTGTTCTCCTCCATTATTAAAATTAAGCTATAGCTTTCATTCCAAAACCAAATTAAAATATTTTATTAAATGCTGATATAGAATTACAAGAACAAATTGAAACAATTTCCTACTTAAAAAGGGTCATTTCCTTAAAAATTTTAATTTATTTGTTTTGGACTCAAAATACATTTTTAGCAAGGAAACAAGTTTATAAATGATAATTAAGTTCCCAGATTGACACATAAAAACCTGTTTAATGTAAAATGTACCTGAAACACACTAGAACCAAGTTTTAAACAACTGTGAGTCATGAGATCTATAAATTTAATCCTTTAGAGGCTTAAGGAGCATCATCAAACATTGAGTGCCCAAAATCTGGGACGTATCAGGCAAGATACCTTAGGTAAGAATAGAGCATCCATGAGTTTGGGTGACTGCTATTCTCAGGATCACACCAATGCCATCATCACCATCATTATCATCATCATCATCATCATCATCAATATCATTAACTTCCCATATTTTGCCCATCATTTTAGAGCATGGAGGCTATGAAGATGATGCTAGTAGGTAGCCAATAAGATGACATCTCATCACTATGGAGAATTGCACCAGGGTGTTGGGGCCTCACTCTCTCTGGCACTTAAACCTCTTCCATCATATTCATTTCCCAACACGGACTTTGAGTATTTAAAAATTGCTTTCAGTCAAGCAAATTAGAGCTCTAAGATATCACTACCCACATTCCAACATTTCCTCCTTCTAGATTTTGCCTTATACTGTGGCCACATCAGACTCCTTAAGCATAGCTTTGAAAAGTCCAGGAAAGGGGGGCTAGCTCAGGACCTATTAACATATTCCTTCACATGCTGGTTGTACCTCCACAAAACCACAATATTCAAATGAATATTTTCCTTTCTAAAAATCTCAACAGAAAATAATTTTGCAACTTCTCAATTATTTTTATATTTCAAAAGTTACCCTCCTTCATTATCGAGGTTTTCTGCCTTATTCCAGTTTTGGTTTTGATTTTGATTTTCAACTTTACTACTCAAAATTATGAGTGATGGGGCGCCTGGAAGAGTGATGGGACTCCACTGGTTAAGTGTCCAACTCTTGATTCCAGCTCAGGTCATGATCTCAGGGTTATGAGACCTAGCCCCACATTGGGCTCTGCAGTGAACAACGTGCCAGTGCAGAACCTGCTTAGGATTTTCTCTCTCTTCCTCTCTTCCTCTCTCTCTGCCTCTCTCTCTCTCAAAAATAAACTTTAAAAAAATTATGTGTGATGCCTGCTTTTCAAGTACTTCATATGTGCCATTAAGTAGTATCCTATAGTTCAACTAATAAAAATGCTAACTATGAACCTTTGTTTCCTACTTTCAAGTAAGAGCACAGTGCCCTACAGTTTGCATCCACCTGAATGACCTCTGGCCTCATCAAACTATAATCACAAAACATATACATACTTCACTTAGAAACTGAATGGAGCAGGAGCTTGGGGGAGGAGAAAATGGGGAGTTCTTGTTTAATGAGTGTAGAGTTTCAGTGTTGCAAGATGAGAAAGTTCTGGAGTTCTATTGCATAACAATGTGAATCTACACTTACCACTGCAGAACTGCAGTTAACTCAAAATGGTTAAGATGGCAAATCTCATGTTATTTTTTACCACAGTTAAAAAAATGTTTAAATAAAATAATGTAGTAAAACTGCTTGAAAAAAAACTAGTGCATTAATTCAATAATAAACGAACGATTACAGAACATCTTTTAAAAACTGAATTAAGGATATCCTTATTTTTAGGTGTTAGGCAGCCAAGATCTTGGATTTTAGTCCTAATTTCTTTTCTATGAATATGCTGACTGCAAGATTATCTATAAAGTTTTCAAATCCAAATGGACTTACATATGACTTGATATAAGAGAAACTGCACATGAAAATGCATGTCAAAACTAAATAAATCAATGAAATTTGGATTATAGAATTTCACTTCTCTTCCGAAAGATTCAAAGAGTGAAACACAAGAAAACCACCACTCCCAGGTGCTGTGTTCTGTTACTACACATTGTTACCATTTGAAATCTCAAATTTTAACTGAATTCAATGAATTTCAGTGGACCAAGCAAAAGCTGAAGTCCATTCAGACAAAAATACTCGAACCTAAACCAGACTAATTTTTACTGGTTTCTCTGTTTTTGTAACAATAATTTCACAATATCTTAACACTCACTTTCTCCTGGGTTTTTTGTTTGTTTGTGTGTTTGTTTTACATTTTACTCTGGTTAATTTTTTACCATTATTTATTTATTTACTTTATTATTTTTTCAGAGACAGAGAGAGAGCAGGGAAGAAGGGCACAGAGAGAGAGAGAGAGAGAGAGAGAGAGAGAGAGAGAGAGAATCCCAAGCAGGCTCCACACTTAGTGCAGAGCCCAATGAGATGCTCAATCCCACAACCCTGGGATCATGACCTGGGCTGAAATCAAGAGTTGGATGCTTAACTGACTTAGTGACCCAGGTACCCATTTCTTTTTAATCATCTTTTAAAAAATTATATGATAAAATAAAGACTTTTTAGGATTCAGGGTCATAATGCTTTCTCTTTGAACAGGGTGAGCAAATTTATATTCATCCCACAGAAAGGCAGGAGACAGAAACTTCACAATAAGTAGGCAAAAGGAATTACAGAGTAATGAAGGAAGTTAATAGAAACTAGTGTCTTTAATTTATAATCCCACCTCCATGTAAAAAGAATGAAATCAATGAAAAGCAAAGGTAGATGGCTACCTTTTGAAAGTAAGTTCCCAGGAATAAATGGTAGGAAGAAAGTTAATGGGCATGATGCACTGACTCAAAAATTTATTAGAATTTTTTTCTCTGCTATGTACTCTTCTCCAATCATTTGATCATCTAATGGTTTGTTGTTAACATTCATTCTTATAATCTGTACAGTTTATTAGATTAGGGCAGAACCTTAAAGCCCACTGTGAATTTGCAGTTTATAACAACACTAATAGTTTTAATAATAATAGTTTTAATAATAATATAATAACTAATATATCAGCATTTACATTATCTCCTTGGAACAACTATATGAGGTGTCACTATCCCTCTAAGATATGAGGAAACTGAGGCTTTGAGAGATTAAATAACTTGGCTGAAACCACACACTAAAAAAGGCTGTGCCCTTAACCACAAAGCTACCCCTGCATCTTGATGAATTGCTACGAGTGTGAATTTCAGTGTAGATTCTTCATCTGCATCATCCATTATAAACCCTTATTTATCTTCTTGATAAGTGAGCTTCCTCCTGCTTTGGGGGTCTCCTATTGCCCAATAGTTCCTGAATAGAAACCATGTCTTGGACACAGACACTTGTTCTGATTGACTCCACGACTGAACCAAATGTGGTCAATGGTGAACAAGGTCATTGACCAGCAGCAGCAGCTCCCTTTGTCCCACAGCTACCACTCCAAGTATTCACCAAGCAGCCCATTATAAACCATTCACTACAGAGAACAGCATCCATAATGGCAAGTCTTTTGAAATCCACTTGAATTC